TCCCCGCCAAGAAACATTCAGAAAAGCGTTACTAAAAGGCAAGGCCGGGGGGGAGGTGTCTCTGGAGACGTTCAAATTCCACTGGACGCGTTCCTGTGTAACCTGCTCTAGGGGACCCTGCCTTGGCAGTAGGATTGGGCTGGATCATCTCCAGAGATCGCTTCCAACCCTAAGTATTCTCTGGTTCTGTGAAAGAGCGTGAAGTCTTTCAGTGCAATCCGGCGGAGAGGATTTGGCAGTGAATAGCTGGAAAGTTGGGACGTCCCGAAGGAAGCGCTGAAATGACAACTTGAACACTCTAGTTTCGGTCTGCGTGACCAGTGCCGCGATATTACTAGGTTACCTTTAACAGAAAAGCAGGAAGTATTAACATTCGAGGTTGCGAATTGAAAATATAAATGGGAAATTTTGGAGCATTTAAAAGCTGTATGAGCTTCAAGGCTACTGAACCAGAGCCTGTCAAAATTCCCTTCTTGTTTATTGGAAAATAGTTTCTCCACTGGATCCAAACTATTTTTTTTTTTTTTTACAGCTCATAGGCGGCGTAGCCAGTAGATGATTACTTTTACTGACCTAATGCTAACAAAAGTAAATGTTACTTTGTACTCTTCCACTGTTACAATCTAATTATAGTTAGTCGCATTGCAATTCTCTTGCTCACCTCAAAGTTTTTGCGCGGGTCTTGAAATTCTTGTATTAATGGGTCCAGCAGCACTGCTAAAAATACTACTTGCTGGAGAATAGGAAAAGGAAATTTGGGTATTTCTTTTAATCACAACTGAATACATAGAACTATGCTTGGAGTTAGCTGCCCCATTCCCACTGTTGTGCTTTTTCTCCCTGGATGTTAACAAGTTGAATAAAGGGGAATCTAGGAAAAATAACAACAATAATAATAATATTTAAAAATATTATAGATCTAATAATTTATACATTGCATACATATGTATTACATGAAAACCACTACATATAATAATATATGTTGAAATACATTCTGAGTTTGGATTATTGGAGCTGAAAAAGACTTTCTGTTTTATCTAACTTCTCAATAGTGTGCAATGTGATAGATACAGTATAATTTATTTTATACAGTTGAGGCTGTATGGGATGTTTTTCTCAAAGCAGATTTTATCAGTAGAAGCTGATGTTTTTCACGTGGTCTATGTGAAAAGCTTGACAGCTTTTCTTTAAAAACCCAAACCAGTGAAACAAACCACCCCAAACTTGAATATTAAGTTGAAAACTTAATCTGGCACCTTTGCAATGTCATTTTCCCTGTTAAAGATTCAAATGAGAAGTGAGTTTTTTACCAGTGAGAATGATGAGTCACTGGAACAGTGACTTCCCTCCTAAGGGAAGACTTATTTTTATCAGGTTCAAGATATCAGTCTATTCAAGGGCCAAACAGATGGTGATCTCTCACCTAAATTTTGGAGGAGGTCAGAATACATGACCTGATTACTCCCTCTTAGGTTTTTATGTATTTGAAGTTAGAGGCATGATCAACTATTAGTCTTGTTTAGAAACTTTGTTACCAACTTTTTTTAACTAGGCAAAAAAGTTCTGGCAGAAAATATGTCCATCTTCATTAAGAAAGTGCAAGCTCAAATCCTATGGTCATAGCTGGCTTGATTAATAAAAATAGATGAGAAAGGTATAACAGATATGAAACCAGCTGAATGCACACAAGCTGGGGTAAAGGTTTAACAGCAAATTAAGCAAAATAAAATCAAGTACAACATTATTTTAAGAAAATCTTTAAAAGCTGCTGCAAGAGAGATGTATTCTATATTTTATGAATTTAGAGTGGCAAATCTTATTTCTTGTGTCTGTACTCATAAATGCAGATGTTTATTGTAATATTGGATCCACATATGTGGAAGAAATAATCCAATCCAAGTATTCCATTTTGGATGCTGAGAACTATTGTCAGGTGTAAAATGGTTTTCTGTTGATTACATGGCTAAGAGGAATTTTATTCAAATCTCTACAATGAAGATGGCAGATAAAGCAAACTATTAAATATAATTATCCCATAGAACTTGTGGCTTTCAGCAGTGATTCCAAAGGTAAATAGCTTAGTAACATTGTAAAAATGTGAAATTCTATTCAGAACAGCATCAGTACTTATAGGACTAACTTGTATTACTTTAGCTCCTTATTTTGGGATATGAAACAATATTTAAGGCCACAGCAATAGGTACCATTATGCTATCTAAACCTTATTCTTTGCCAGGTTATTAAATGACATAGAGCCCAAGGCAGGAGAGGCAACTTGAAATCCAAAAATTCTGCTAAGGACTGGGGCTCCCCTCCTTCTCTCTCCTGTCAGATGGTCCAAATCAGACTAGTAGTCTGAGCCTGGACCGATTTATTTTTTTTTATCCTTCCCTCTCTCCCCCTCCCTCATTCCCCTCAAAGTTGTAAAATGTGCTTTCTTCATCTTTCAGCTTTGCTTCCAGGATAAATCCGTGAGGAAATCCAAGATTTGAATTTTCCATGTGGTCCAACGGCTGTTTCTTTCTGGGGCTGGTGCCCTCTTGCCCGTTGGGACAATCAGCAAATCTTTAGGCATGAGCAGCTGTGCTGCTGGTGTTTTTGCAGCTTTGTGTCTGGAGCAAGTTGGTAGAATGCATTATATGGCTGGTGTGAGCTGCAGGCTTGGCAGCAGCCTGTGTCAGCGTGGCATCCCTCTAAGCCTGCCTTTGTTACGGTCTTTTTTTTTTTTCTTTTCTGGATAAAAAGTCCTCTGATATGTGGTGGAATGCTAAGTGTGCAACTTTCTTCTTTGCTATTAAAAATAGCATTATTAATGCTATTATCAATAAATAGTATAAGAATTTATAAAAATTAATTATTGCCTAGCATAAAGTCCTGTTGATCTGACTTATGTTCAGGATATTGAGTTTCTTATTGTAGGTTATATATATATTTATATATAATAATATATACATTTAACCATTTAGAATATATCTGATTTCTCATTTAGGTTAGACAAGTTGTTTTTGTAAGTTATTACAAAGACAATATCAGCAAACTAGTCTCCTTTTTTTCATTAAAACTTCCTTACTTTTGTTAATAAAAGCAAGGTCCTAAAGCCACTTCGACCAATATTTTATAAATATTTAAATTGCCATGCTTTAACAAAGTGAAAAGTATTTGAATGTTTGCATTTGAAAATATTTGAGTATTTTTTTGAGCTAAACCCCCAAATACATATCATGGCTTTAGATAACTTCTTGCACACATAGTATTTTGCAAGTATTTATACCATATTGCTTATGACCTTGCAGAAGAGCCTGTCATTCCACCTAATATGCTAGGTGTCTGCACACCAACACAAATATATTGGGAAAGAACAGCAGGGGAATGTCTAAACACGTGATTATTAAAAGTATTCTGCCAGCCTCCATCGGATCAATTAGATTTATGAGACTGGAATATAAATACTAGGTGTATGTCTGTAGCTGGAGAAGAACCACTGAAAGTGTGAGATTTGGTAGCTAAAATCTCTTGTAACCATCCAGTGGAAAAGACTGAGCAGAATGTATTGCTCTTCTGGGGATGTAATTCGTAAAAATAGCTTTTTGTACAAACAAAGAGAATGCATAGATGGGAGACAGGTTCTGCAGGTGTGACAAGATGTCACCATACATAGGATAAAAGATGACAGAGCAGCAGAATAAAACCCATAAATGTCAAAAAGCTTAGCACGTAAAGCTTGGCTGGAGACAAATACAAGGAAGAAAGAAACTAATCTCAACCTCTTAAGAAGTAATGTGGTTATACCAAACCCTTGCACT